AATTTTTATTTTGCAAAAACAGTGCATCAATAGAATGATAATTATGGAATAATTCTTGGTCTTCAAGAATAGATGCCGAGATGTTAGTGATTTTACTTTCTATCACTATAGTTCTTCATTGTGTTCTTGTGGGGTTCTTCCTCCCCCAACTTGGCTTTTGATTATAAGTCTTTTTAAATGGAGAATAAGAAAGAAGACAATTCTCCATAGGTTTTATAAGCAGAAATGGAAGGGATAGAAGAGAGCTTATTATGTAGTTTGGTGATATACTGTGACCATGGTACCTAATAACACATTCATCAGGTGTTTAGATTTGATTTAGATTGATTTTACTGAGAAGAGAAAAGTGCCCCCAAACTTGTGTGAATTGTGAAACCTTCCTATTGAATATGTATATTGGTAGATATATGCCTACTCTCTTTTTTTCTAATATTAGCAGTTGTTTTCTGAAAAAAAAAAATTATAGGAAACAGTCATGTGTTTTGAATAATTTTATCATTTGTTACAAGGGAAACCTAGAAATAGGATTAATATTTTTATTCATACGATAGTTATAGTTGAAATTATTGATTCACTAGAGATATTGACTAAGGATGTATATTTCTTTTTTTTTTTTTTTTTGAGACAGAGTCTCGCTTTGTTGCCCAGGCTAGAGTGAGTGCCGTGGCGTCAGCCTAGCTCACAGCAACCTCAAACTCCTGGCTCAAGCAATCCTGCTGCCTCAGCCTCCCAAGTAGCTGGGACTACAGGCATTCGCCACCATGCCCGGCTAATTTTTTGTATATATATTAGTTGGCCAATTAATTTCTTTCTATTTATAGTAGAGACGGGGTCTCACTCTTGCTCAGGCTGGTTTCGAACTTCTGACCTTGAGCAATCCGCCCGCCTCAGCCTCCCAGAGAGCTAGGATTACAGGCGTGAGCCACTGCGCCCGGCAGGATGTATATTTCTTAATAGGGTTTTTCTTTTTTCCAGTCCTATTCTGAAGGGAATGGGGAGTTGATCTTTGGAGAAAGCCCTGTTTATAGAGATCCTCGTGTTTTCTAGGGGACTAGGTAAAACATAAAACATTAAGCAACTAGGGAAGTACTGCTTTGAGGGTACTACCTACCCTTGATAATTTTTCCTCCCAGCTTTACCTCTATTTTGGATATTTTGGGGTAATTTTCATTACCACCTGAATGTTGACAATGACAAAGGATACAAAACTCAAGCTGATTTGTAGTAAAAATTTGCAAAGAAGAGTTAATCCTATTCTCAAAAATAATGTTAGAGATTACCTTGAAATTTAGTTTATTCATGAGCTAGCTGATTTTAGAATTATGCAGGAATGATTTTGAGCAGCTCTGTCAATATGCTAGGTATTAAGCAAAAATGCACTATAATGCTCCTATTAATGTCTTCAGGTCGATGGCATTGTTAAAAAATGTATTTGAAAAAGACTAAGAAATTTGTGAAGTATGATTAACATGGGCATTATATTTTCAGATATTAGAGTAGATTACAACACAGTAGTTTTAAATCTATGTGAGGACTTGGGTTTAAACATGGTAGACTGACTACATGTATTTATCTCTTTCTCCTAAGCCCCCCAAAACATTTAAATACACAAGCTTTTAAAGATCTGAAACACAAATGTTACTTTATGATAGAAGCTTTCCTTGAACACTCTGTATTTTAAAAGCAACCTCTCTTTTCTTTTTTTACATTTGTCCAACTTATAATTTTCTTTTATATTTGCCAATTTCTGATGCTCTTCCTTCATTCATTCCTGAGGATCTGAATTTCCACTGGGCATTATTTTCCATCAGCCTAAAGAGCTTCCTGTAGCATTTTCCATCAGCCTAAAGAGCTTCCTGTAGCATTTTATTGGTTGATTGATTGATTGATTGAGACAGGGTCTTTCTCTCTTGTCCAGGCCGAAATGCAGTGGCTCAAACATAGCTCACTATATGCTCAAATTCCTTATTTCTGGACTCAAGTGATCCTCCTGCTTCAGCCTCCCTAGTACCTAGGACTACAGGCATGTACCACCACATCTGGCTCATTTTTTAATTTTTTGTAGAGATGGGGTTTTGCTATGTTGCCCAGACTGGTTTTGAACTCCTGGCCTCAAACAGTCCTTCCACCTCAGCCTCCCCAAAGTGCTGGGATTATAGGCATGAGACAGAGTCTTACTCTGTTGTCTGGGCTAGAGTGCAGTATCATCATCATAGCTCATTGCAACTTCAAACTCCTGAACTCAAGTCATCCTCCTGCCCCAGCTTTCTGAGAAGCTGGGACCACAGGCATGTGTCATCATGTGCAGCTAATTTTTCTGTTTATTGTAGAGATGGGGTCTTGCTATGTGCTCAGGCTGGTATCAAACTCCTGGACTCATGTGATCCTCTGATCTTGACCTCCCAAAGTGCTAAGATCACAGGGAGGAACCACCATGCCCAGCCTCCTTTAGTATTCCTTTTTTAAATTTTTAATTATGGGTCCATAATAGTTGTATGTTACATGTGATATTTTGATATAGGCATACAATGTGAATTAATGAAATCAAAGTAATTGGGATATCCATCATCTCAGGCATTTATCATTTCTTCGTGTTAGGAACACCTCAATTCTACTTTTTTTAGTTATTTAAAAGTATATCCTAACTTATTTTTGATTACAGTGACTTTGTTGTGCTATCAAATATTATTCATTCTGTCTATTTAACTATATTTATCTTTGTCCCCTTTCCCTACCTAGCCTCTGGTAGCCATCATTCTACTCTCTCTCTTCATGAGAACAATTATTTTAAATATTTAGCTCCCACATAAGAGTGTGAAAATATGAGATTTGTCTTTCTGTGCTTGGTTTATTTCACTTAACATAATGTTCTCCATTTCTGTCAATGTTGTTGCAAATGGCAGGATTTAATTCTTTTTTATGACTATATAATATTCCATTATGCATATGTACCACAATTTCTTTATCCATTCATTCATTCATTGATGATTCCCAATCTTGGCTATTATATTGTGAATAGTGCTGCAATAAATATGGGAGAGCAGATATCTTTTTGATATACTGAATTCCCCTCTTGTGGATATATACCCAGCAGTGGGATTGTTGGGTCATCTGATAGTTCTATTTTTAGTTTTTTGAGGAATTTCCATGCTGTCCTCCATAGTGGTTGCACTAATTTACATTCCCACCAACAATGTATGAGAGTTTCCTTTTCTCTTCATTATTGCCTGCCTTTTTGATAAAAGACATTTTAACTAGAGTAAGATGATATCTCATATAGTTTTGATTTGCATTTCTCTGATAACTAATGATGTTGAACATTTTTTCATATACCTGTTGGCCATTTTATGGCTATTTCTTCTTTTGAGAAATGTCTATTCAGATCCTTTGCTCATTTTAAAATTTGATTATTTGATTTTTTTCCTACTGAGTAGTTGGAGCTCCTTATGTGTTCTAGTTGTTAATTCCTTGTCAGATAGGTAGTTTGCAAATATTTTCTCCCATTCTGTGGGTTGTCTCTTCACTTTGTTAACTGTTTGCTTTGCTTTGCAGAAGCTTTTTAGCTTGATGTGATCTCATTTGTTCAATTTTACTTCGGTTGCCTGTGCTTGCCCAGACCAATGTCCTGAAGCATTTCCCCAACATTTTCTTTTAGTAGTTTTGTAGTTTCAGCTCTTAGAGTTAAGTCACTAATCTATTTTGACTTGTTTTTATATATGAGAAGAGATAAGGGTCAAGTTTCATTCTTCTGCATATGGATATCCAATTTTCCCATCACTGTTTATTGAAGAGACTCTCCTTTCCCCACCTTTGTTGAATATAAGTTCACTATAGATGTGTGGATTTATTTCTGTGTTGTCTATTCTGTTCCACTGGTCGTTGTGTCTGTTTGTATGCCAGGACCATGTTGTTTTGCTTTTCTACAGCTCTGTAGTATAGTTTGAAGTCAGATAATGTGATTCCTCCAGTTGTATTCTTTTTGCTCAAAATGGCTTTAGCTATTCTGGGCCTTTTGTGGTTCTATATAAATTTTAGGATTATTTTTTCTTTTTCTGTGGAGAATGTCATTGGTATTTTGATGGAGATTGCATTGAATCTGTACATTGCTTTGGGTAGTATGGACATTTTGACAATATTGATTCTTCCAATCCATGAGCATGGAATATCTTTCCATTTTTTGTGTCCTCTTCAATTTCTTTTAGCAATATTTTATAGTTTTCATTATAGAGATCTTTCTCTCTATGAACTTACTTGGTTATTTCTAGATATTTCATTTGTAGCTATTGTAAATGTAATTACTTTTTCAGATTGTTTACTGTTGGCATATAGAAATGCTACTGATTTTCGTATATTGGTTTTGCATCCTGCAACTTTACTGAATTTTTTTTATTAGTTCCAGTAGTATTTTGGTGGAGTCTTTAGGTTTCTCTAGATATAAGATCATCTGCAAATGAGGATAATTTGACTTCTAACTTTCCAATTTGGATGCCCTTTCTTTCTGTTATCTGTTTTCTCTAGCTAGAACTTTTAGTAGCATGTTGAATAATAGTGGTAAAAGTAGGCATGTTGTCTTTTTCCAGATCTTAGAGGAAAGACTTTCAGTTTTTCCCCATTCACTATGATTCTAGCTGTAGTCTCTCATATATAGCTTTTATAGTGTTGAGGTAAGTTCCTTCTATACTCAGTTTTTTTTGAAAGTTTTTTCATGAAGGGATATTGAATTTTATCCTCTGTTTTTTCAGTATTGATTGAAATGATCATATGGCTTTTGTCCTTTGCTCTGTTGATATGATGCATCACATCGATTGATTTATGTATGTTGAACCATCCTTGCATCCCTGGGATGAATGTCACTTGATCATGATGAACAATCTGTTAATGTAGTGTTGAATTTGGTTTGTTAGTATTTTGTTGAGGATTTTTGCATCTGTATTCGTCAGAGATATTGACTTATAGTTTTCTTTTTTTGTTGTGTCTTTGTCTGTTTTTTTTTTTTTTTCATTTACAAAAGGTAGGCCATGTTTATTAGAGTCACTAGCAGCTGACTGGCTCAGTGTGACTCAAGAGCACAAAGAAACCATTTCGCCTTCACTTCATACTGAGTCCTAGGGTGAGACCCAGACTGGCAGGAGTTCTGCCTGGGGCCTATTCACAGGTTTACAAGCTTTTCATTGAGGGCAATCTGAGACTGTGTGAGATTGGCCAGGTAGATCACCATCAGCAGGTCATTGATGTTGCTGTTGAGCATGGTCTGGAAGTCGTCAGGAGCTATTTTGGGTACTTGGTTAACCAGGCTCATCAAGAAGCGACCCACAGTATTGTCAGCTGACACCTTTCCAGACAGCACATCCTCTGCATACTGCAACACTGTGCTTAAGGCATCCTGGATGCGAGCTGATGCCCCTCCTACTTGCTGCAAGTCACTTGAGAGTCCGATCACTCGGTTGGGACTAAAACAGGTCTTCATGATCAGGTCAACACCAATGCGTTCAGTGTCATAATATGCATATTTCACTGTCAGAGGTGTGAACATCACTCCCATGGTCCATCTAGGGACACCCATTAAAGTGCTGTCTTAGGCTTTGATGCTCATGTGGCCGTTCTGGAGACTTGTGTCCACAGTGAGGTGAATGGGGTTGGGGGCTTCCCGGCTGTAGTACTCATGGATCAGCACAGAGTGCTCTGTGATGTCGTGGCCTGTAGCGTACCAGCCCAGGATGAGCTCATTTGGAGAGACTTTTTTGTGCAATTCATACATGTTCTTAGCAAATTCCATGTCAACAGCCACTTCATATTCTGACTCATTATGTGGCACTGAAAAGCAATTGGTGACCTCCACTGAGTGCTTGTCAACACTTCCCAGCAGGGTCCCGATAACACGGGCAGCTCCCTCGTTTCGTCGCTCGTAGCTGTCCACGATGGAGGCCAAAATGACTGGGTGCAGCCTGACCACGGGGCCACCAGGGAAGGGCCCTGGGAGAGCAGGACCAGTCAGTGGGGGCGCCGGGGTCTGCGCAGAGGCTTTCGCGGAGGCCGGGGTCTGGCCCGCAGCCGCAGTCGTAGCCGCTGCTGCCGCAGGGTCTGAAGATGAGGCCGGAGCCGCAGCTGGCGTGGGAGGTGGCGTTGGGGCTGGTGCCGGGACTAATGCTGAGGCTGAGACTGGGGCCGCCGCCGGGGCTGGGGCTGGAGTGGTGGGAGGATCACTTGCTGTTACTGCCGGTGTGGCCATCTTGTCGCGAAAGAAGGAGCCAGGAGCGGAAGAGCTTTGTCTGGTTTTGGTATTAGGGTGATACAGGCCTCATAGAATGAGTTTGGAAGTATTCCCTCCTCCTTGATTTTTTAGAATCATTAAGTAGAGTTGGTATTATTTCTTTGAGTGCTTGGTAGAATTTAACAGTGAAGCCAATAGATCCTGGAGTTTTCTTTGATCGGAGAGTTTTTATTACTGCTTCTGTCTTATTATTTGTTATTGGTTTATTCAGGTTTTAGATTTCTTCCTGGTTCAATTGTGGTAGGTTGTATATGTCCAGGATTTCCCCAATTCTTCTAGGTTTTCTAATTTATTGGCATATAGTTGCTTATAGCAGTTGCTAATGATTCTTGGGATTATTGCAGTATCATTTGTAATGTCTCCTTTTTCATCTCTGATTTTATTTAATATTTCTGTCTTCTCTCTTTTTGTCTTAGTCTGGCTAAAGATGTGTCAATTTCATTTATATTTTCAATAGCATTTCTTATAGTATGGGTTTGCTGGTCTTAAATCCCTATCAATTTAAAGAACTTCCTTTAGCACTTTTTTAGTATAGATTTCCTGGCTTTAAATTTCCTTAGTTTTCTTTCATCTGAAAATGTTTTTATTTTACCTTTATTCCTGTATTAGTTTTTTAAGGCTCCCGTAACAAAGTACCACAAACTGGGTGGCTTGAAACAATAGAAATTTCTTGTCTCTTTTGTCTGGAGGCTAAAGTCCACAATCAAAGTGTCAGCAGGACTGTGTTCTCTCTGAAACCTGTAGGGGGTGAATCCTTCCTGGTCCCTTCCTAGCTTCTGTTGGTTTGTCACCCTACTTCAATATGGCTTTGTCTTAACTTTAGTACTTCTGCATTGATCCTGTTTCCAAATAAGTTCACATTCTGAGGTGTTAGTATTCTAGACTTCAACTTGTCTTTTTAATCCATAACACTCTGAAAGATATTTGCTGGGTATAGAATTTTGGGTTGATAAGCTTTTTGTTTCTTTAATCACTTTAAAGATGTTGTTCTACTGCTTTCTGGCCTCTGTAGTTTCTGATGAGAATTCAACATTCACTTGTATTGTTTTTCCATAGAATACAATATGTTAATCTTCTCTGTGACTTTTAGAATTTTCTCTTTACCTTTACTTTTCAACAGTTTGACTATCATGTGCCTAGCCATAGTTTTCTTCTTGGTTTGGGGTTTACTGAATTTCTTGAATCTGTAACTTTATGTCTTTTATCAGACATGGTAAATTTTCATCCATTATTTCTTCAAAAAATTTTTTTGCCTTATTTTATTTCTCATCTTTTTCTGGGACTCCAGTTCAGCTTCTGTTAGACCTTTTGACGTTATCTTAACTGTTTCTTAGTCTTTGTTTATGGCTTTTATTGTTTTTTCTTGAATCTTTTATTTGTCTCTTTTTTTTTTCAGAATGTGTAATTTCCATTGATCTGTCTTCTTATCTTCAAGACCACTAAGTCTTATCCTTTGTTATCTCTATTTGGCCATTAAGTTTATCAAATTATCAAATGATGAATTCCTTATTTCAAATACTGTATTTTTCAATATTTGAACTGAAAAATTTCAGTTTCAATAGAACTGAAAAAATATAATCAAATATATGTGTTTGATGCCTGTATACTTGGCTCTGTACTGAGATAGTATGCTTGCATGGACATAACAATGTCATATTGATTATTGTTTTAATTTAACACACTGTGTTGGGAAGATAATTGAAAAAGTAGTAGTGTTAAGGGACCCAGACTTTTAAGTGAGGTAAGTTTTTATCACAAAGGAATAGTATTATTTAGAAATGTAGATGTAAAATAGTAACTCTAAAAAGATGGATGAGGGGTAGGAAAAGGCAAGAAAGAATATAATGGTTTTCATTAAAATAATTTCAGTATTATTAGATTTTTTAAATTAATAAAACTTTATTATTTAGAGCAATTTTACATTCATAACAAAATTAAGCATAATGTAACAGAGAGTGCTCACATACCCACTCTCCCCATTATTGATATTCTGTACCACTGGGGTATGTTTGTTAAAGTCAGTGAACCTACATTGACATATCATTATCACCTAAAGTTCACCATTTATGTAAGGGTTCACTCTTGGTGTTGTACATTCTATGGATTTTGTCAAATGTATAATTATGTGTATCTACCATTGTATTATAGTACCATTCAAAATAATTTCAGTGCCCTGAAACTCCTCTGTATTCTGTTTATCCCTCCCTCACTCTTAACCCCTGGCAACAACTTCCTTGTTTTTAAATGTCAATTCAAGTTTCTGATCTATATAGTTTTCCTTCTCTCTGAAGAACTTTTTAATATTTCTTGCATGGCAGGTTTACTGGCAACAGATTCTCTCAATTTTCATTTGCCAGATAGTCTTTATTTCTCCCTACTTTTGAATGATAATTTGTCAGGCTACAGAATTCTAGGTTGGTTGTTTAAGGTGGCTGTTTTTTCATTTCAGTAGTTTCAATATTTCACTCTAGTTTCTTCTTGATTGCACGGTTTCTGAGGAGAAATCGGATATAATTTGTATCTCTGCTTCTGTATAGGTATCCACCCCCCATCCCCCAAGGAACCTGGGGGATTGTATATGAGTGGTTTATTCAATCATATGATTTTAGGAATAAGGGTTAGTAGGAGAGAAAAGAGAAGGTGAGTGAGTCAGTACATTGATACAGTGCTAGGGCAGTCTGGTTTCTTAATCCATGGGACTTTCTGAGAAGACTTGTGGACCTTAAGCATGGGAGGAACAAAGAAGAGAAGCACTGTCAGCTCCTTTTCAAGGGTTGCTTCACTTCTGGGTTGTGCTTCATGAGTGCTAAGTGTTTTTTGTGGGATTCCACATTGTGGTATTAGAAAAGCCCCAGGGCAGGAAGCCAGAGGTATAGTGTAAGTGCCTGAACTGGTGTCAAGTTACATTTTGTCATGCTTTCAAGCTGGTTTAGAACTGGTTGCTGTTGGTAGCTAGAATAAAAGGTGAAGCTGAGAGGATTTGAAGGGATTTGAAGGGAATTCTAGTGTTATCCAGTACAGATACATAATACTTGAGATGATAATGTATAGCAATATTAGATGCCATTAATGATTATGTATTGAAACGTTGCTAGGTCTCAGATGTTTCCATAGTAGACAGTGAAACAAGATTCCTGTCTCATTTTCAGAGGGAAGACAGGGGAGTATGTGGTTTTTAGTGTGTGTGTTTTTTTTTTTAATTCAAGATACTTCATATGTATTATCTCATTTAATCCTTGCAGCAGTTCTGAAGTAGATTTGATTTGTGTTTTTTAATAGATGGGGATATAATGTAACAGAGAAGTAAAGTAACTTGCCCAAGGTTATAGAATTATTAAATTTCAGGGCTTAGACTTAAAGACTTATATTATTCCAGAAAGCTCATCTCCCTCCCTACTCCCTCGTTATAGCACCTTATTATTGAAATCTTTTAGTTATATTAGGCTTTCAACCTATAGATCTAAACCTCTCTTTTCAACTAGTGTCTGATTGTAAAGGTTATTTGTAAGTGCTCCTCTAGTCCACTAGAGGTCAGTATCGGGTTGAGAAAGACTAGAGACTTTGGCTTTTGATTCTCATTATTTTAACTCTCTGAGTCTTATTTCTAGGTACTCCTCAAATTTATATTTCACAGTAAATCTTTATTTAATGGCATATATAGGATGTCTCACAGAACTACTCTGACAGTTGTAAAGTGTTAATAGTGACTTTTTAAGATTAATAGTCCAGATTAGGTAATGCTTATGGGTTGTCCCCTCCCTTATAATAGGTAGGAGAGCACCCATGTCATATCTTTTGTAGATATCCCTTTATTTTATTGTGCCACATCTTATTCTTATATGGAATCCTTTTGTTATACAGTAAACATATATCCAAATTTATACAGTAAACATATATCCAAATTTACTACGTGTATGTCACTATGTCTGGACTTGGAGGATTCTAAGAATGGTAAAGTGTTTCTTATCTTCAAAGAGAGAAGAGTTGAATACCAAAGGGTTTTATTGTCATTTTCACCTGGATATATCAATACAACCAGTTTACTGAACTCGTCTTCATCATCATGTACTTACTATTTTTATGGTTTCTATTGCTTGGAATGGCCCTACCGTCTAGTCATCAAGGCTAGAGTACTTGGAATTATTCTTATTTCCTTCCTCTCTTCCCATGTACTACATTTAAATCAGTAAATTGTGTTACTTATGCTTCTGATATATCTGCTGCTACCTTTATTCAAGTTTTTATTTGCACTGATTACTGATATATATTGATTTTCTTGCTTCTAGTCTTTAACTTCTCCCAATTGACTACTCCTCTGTTCCCAAAGGATTTGTCTGAATTCTAAAGCTAATCCTGTTATTACCCTACTTATATTCTTTCATCATTTCTCCCATTTCCTACTAGCTAACATTGCAACTACTTTATGTGGCATCTTTACCTCTTATTAATCCTTCATAACCTATACTCTAATTATGTAAAATTATGTATTATTCCCTAGGTGGATAATATTTTTTCACCTATGATTCTTTCTCATGATATTTGCTTACTGTGGAATGGTTAACCTTTTCCATCTATCTCTGTTTGGAAAAATCATATTTATCTTTCAAAAGCACCTTTAGTGCCTGTTCCTCTGTGAAGCCTTCCTTGAAACTTTTCCAAGCAGATCTGATTACTTTCTCCTTTGTCCAATTATTGCCCTCTGTATTTGTTTCTATCATTATATTTGTTGCACTGAATTCTAGCTATTTATTTGCCTATGTGCTTTCTATATTGGTATGATGTGAGATTCATGAGTTAGGGACGCCAACTTATTTCTTTGTATAACCAGTGTGCAGCGCAATGCCTGGTATGAAGTAGACATTCAACATGTGTTTGAAAGTAAGAATACAGAGAGAAAGCTCCATAAGTTAGGGCCGTGAGAGAAAGCTTTCTAAAGGAAGAAGAATTTTAATTGGGTTTCATAGGAAAGATTGGATTCGGGCAGGAAGAGGTTAAAGGGTAGAGAAATGGCATAAGTAAGGATACAGAAGTGGAAATTTACTTAGTGTATTATGAAGTAGAGTCTCGTTCAAGTGGAAGAGTCATGTTGGAGTGTACTGGATAAGTACCTTAGAAAATTAGGTTCAGCTTCCATTATTGTGGAATCTATGTGGTGGATTATGAAGTTTGGACTTGCACTTGTTTAAATTCCCACCTCACCCCCCAATTTCCCTCATGTCTAATTGGCATGATAAACAATGTGGCTTAAGAAGAGCCTGGCTGCAGTAGGTACGGGGATTGTAATGGGAAGGTGATGAGTTCCATTTTAGGTATGTGGGAAATGAAGTGATGGTAGGAACTGGAGATGTGCTGTGCATTTCAGGAGAGTGGTAAGAGAGAAAAGGAGTTGAGGGCTAAACTTTGCTCAATTTCTATGTAATAGGAAATTGGAGGAGAATATATTATATGTGAGGGAATCTTGAGGAAGAGGTGGTTAAGTGTATAAAAATTATTCATAAAGAGAATGAACAACTAAGAAAATGAAAACACCTAAATGCTTTCTAAGGTCTAGCTACTATGTGTATGCTTTGTGCCCCTCTCCCCCTGCTCCAGCCCAGTCAGCAGAGATCAGTCAGCTGGTTCTTTATAAGGATTGTTTTGGAGGGATAGAATAAATGATCCTGATTTTTAAAAAAACCTAACAAGGTAAAAAAAAAAAACAAAAGGCCTTTAATAAAATTTTTTGTGTGTCACATTTTCATTTTAATATATGTATTTATATATTTATATCTATATTTAGTCTTTACCACTTCCTGCCAATCTCATAACATACATTGTGAATAGATGGTAATATTCATTTGCATCCATAATGGTAATATCTGAATATTTATTTCATTGCTCTATTTGAAATTTGATGTTTTCAACTTGGCCGGTTCCTGCTTGGCAGGTCTGCCCTGATTGCTCCTTTTTACAGACTGGAGAAGCTTTAATAATTCTGACAGAGAATGCAGGTTCTGACACAGCTTTAGAATACAACTTGAAGCACTTGGATTTCTAGCATAGGGTTTGCTATCTCAATTTGCTGATTTGGTCCAAATCACTTTGTACTCCTCCAAATTGATAGGAAAACCAGATGCCAACTAAAAAGAACAAATCATAGAAAAATCTAAAATTATTTCTATAGGATACTTTTCAGATTTGTATTATTTCATGTTTAAATGACAGTACGTACATGTGACTCCTCTTGATTGCCTTTGATACACTAGCATATTTTATTGTGAAAGAAAAACAATTAACTTGGGATTCAATAAAATAAGACTCATTTGTGGAAGGTTTTGGTTTTGCTATACTGATATGATAGAGTTAGGTAAGCAAGTGATCACTCTCTAGTTGAGGACTTGCTTTTTTAAATATGAGAGCTTTAGAGGAACTTGTCCCTTCCTTTGTCCCTCCACTGAGTCCTTGATCCCTTTTTGTGTGTTTTGCATTGGAAGCAAATAGGGAAGAACATGTTACTTTTGGGAAAAACAAAGAATTTTCCATAACTTGGTTAATTAAATGCTTAGAAGATATATGTGTCTCGTTTATAAACCTTAATGAAATATTTTTGGGTACCTTCTCTCTCTCAGTTTGTTACCAAAGCCTTGTATTTTATGTAAGTCTAACCAAAATATCAATAGGTAATATGTAGAGAAACAAGTTTGTCCATTGATTCAATCTCTGGAATGTAGATTCTTTTCATTTTCCTGGCAGCAACTAGTTCACACAGTTCAAGTTTTTCTCTGTCCTGCTATAATTGTCCTATTTGACCAGTGTCTGGACTAACTTCTTATACTTAATATTTATCTTCATTTCCTTAATCTCATTAAGCTTTAGAGATGCTGATTTTTCTCCTGAACTAATTTCTATTTATCACTGAGGAGAAATATCAAATATTGATTAAGGGACATGTATTCCAAGAGGTCACATGCTCAAGCTTTGTATCTTGGGATAATACTAAGTATGACATTGAAAGAAATAAAGAAAAAAGGAAAGTTCCATTGGGAAATATTTTTGGAACATGCTGGATTAAACTAAATTAAACAAGTTCCTTTAAAATAGGACTTCTAGCTTTTATCCTGTTAATGTGTGTTGTATATCTACAAGAAGGCTACATGACATGCAGTATTTCCCATTGATTTGACCTTAGAACCCCTTTTTGGGAAAGATTTTTGTCATGCTTTAAGGGACTGTTGGTGTAATGGAAAGATCACTGATCTGGAATTTAGAAGATCACAGTTTGTGCTTCTGATTAACCACTCTCTAGCCTTGTGACCTTGAACAAATCCTTTGTCTTCTAGCCTCGGTTTCCTGATTGGTGACTAAGGTCACTTCCAGCTCTAATACTGTGTGGTTTAAGGCTTCTGTTGTTGGCTCTGAATAGTCACACTTTCCACTTCTTTTTATCTATTGAGACCATGCCATTATTTCAGTCTTATTTTGTCAGGTTGAGATTGTACTGCCTTTTCTATAAAAGTTCAGAAGAAGAAAACCTTTAAAACCCGGTTTTCCCCAGATTGATGGTCATGGAATCCTGTTAGATTAATTAGTTCAAATTGCTTTCTAAAGATAATTCATTCTCCTGATTATATTTTATTGGTCTCTTATACCCACATAACTGTTTTTAAGAGTCCCCTGAGTTTAAATGTATCAAAATTAATCCCAGGCGCTCACCTGTACTCCCCCAACCATTATGGTTTCAGTATGGCATTTTCTTGTAAGAGGTAAATAAATATTAGACATTTGTACTAGTCTCTTGACTACTTAAGCAAAAATTGGTAGATTTCATTTTTTGATGATTTAGTGGATATATTTCAAATATCTTATGATAATATTGACTAATTAACTTTTTTCTGTGTTAACTTGGAAATTGAGTTAAGATAGGGTAACTTCAGGATTAAAAATGCATACATTAATATGTTTGGTTTTATTTCTGAGACTAAAACTTTATGTACTAAGGCCTTTTGTTGTGGTATTTTCTTTAAGATACCAATTTGTTCAAAATTAGAAATTCATTAAAAGCTTAATTAAATTTTGTTTTTTTTCTTTCTTTCTTTCTTTCCTTTTCTTTTTTTTTCTTTTTTTTTTTTTGGTGTTTGTGTGTGTTTTTCTCTATGTAGGCCCAACAGCAAAGAAACCTGGATAACATCGTCTTGCAACAACCCAGAATAGGTAGCAAGAGAAAATCTAAGAAAGATGCATATATAATCTTTGATACAGAGATAGAAAGTACTAGCCCCAAGTCTGAACAGGATTCAGGAATTCTGGATGTTGAAGACGAGGAAGATGATGAAGAGGTAACTAACATTTGAACTGGGGAAATGAGACTATTTTTAAGCTTAAATGTAGTATATGGTTGAGATACGATGAAAACTTTATCCATATAAACACACACAGTTTGTGTGATCTGGATATTAAATGCCATTTTGAATAGAAATGGGCCCCAATTTAAGGAAACTGAAGATAACATTAAGATAATTTAGATTGTGATTCTTTTTAAAGAATTTAAATTTTAAATGCATTCTTCCAATTTTGAAAAGATTCAGGGTTTTTTGATTCTGTACATTAAGGGAAGAGTGGAGTTAACCTGACCTAGAGACAAAAGGTTTAGGTGACCTCTACTGAAACTGGAACAGTTACTTGAAATAAATATAAGATGTTGCTTCAAAAGGTTAGGAGTGAACAAATAGAAATGATTCAAATTAAAAATATAAAGTTTCCAGAAAGTTGAGAATACGTTTCTAGAGGAAATACATGTATGAGTGATTATGGGGTGTCTAGGAATTTTATGAGATATCTATAACCTCTTAGATGAGTTATGTGTCACTGTTAGGCAAGAATAAGATTAAGTGTCTTAATTAGTACATAGTTTTATATTCTTCTTTGTTGTTGGAGGTATATTTAATGTGTTTTTTAAAACTGTTGTGGCATTTGAGATTTCCTGTTCAAATGTTTTTTGTAAATACTTATCATTTGCATTAACTGGATCAGTATCTTTGTGAGTGTAGTGTTTAGGAGCATGAGCTTTAGAGTCAGACTGTATTTCAGTCCTGGCTTTGCCATTTTATTTTTTAAAATTGTTAATAATCATATCATTTACTTTTAAAATGGCTACTGATATATGTGAGAAATCATTTATTCCTATACTGCCTTTAAGCGCTTGTCTCCTTTTAATTGTTTCATTTCTTCAGATAAAACTGGGTTCACTATTTCTTCCTCATCCTTGTCTCCTTATACCCTTACTACCCTTCTGACTCTTTTCTGTCTCCAAAAGCTATGCTCAAAAACTTGTCACTGTCTAACTTTGTAATCTTAAATAACTTGCTTAATCTGTTGGAACCTTAGTCTTCATCTATCAGGTAAATCTCCCCCCATATAGCATCAGTCTCCAACCTTTTGGGCACCAGAGACTGGTTTCACAGAGACAATTTTTCCAAGGACCTGGGTAGGGGATGGTTTTGGGATGATTAAGCACATTACATTTATTGTGCAGTCAAATCTCTCTGCTAATGATAATCTGTATTTCCAGCCACTCCCCAGTGCTAGCATCACTGCCTCAGCTCTGCCTCAGATCATCAGGCATTAGTTCTCATAAGGAGCATGCAACCTAGATCCCTGGCGTGTGCAGCTTACAGTAGGGTTTGTGCTCCTGTGAGAATCTAATGCTGCTGCTAATCTGACAGGAGGTGGAGCTTATGCTGTGATGTAAGCGATGGGGAATGGTTGTAAATACAGATGAAGCTTTGCTTTCTCATCCATCACTCACCTCCTACTGTGCAGCCTGGTTCCTAAAAGGCCATAGACCGGTACTGGTCTGTGGCCCAGGAGTTGGGGACTGCAGCCATATAGGATTGCATAAGTGTCTACCCCGTAAAAGGTAGTCAACAAACATTAATTTCATTATTCTTCCTTACTGGCTTCTATTATGTATCACCATACTGTCAGTATACCTGTACCTATTATTATTCCTTTTTGATTTCAAATTGAATTGGCAGTGCTTAAACTTTTGGACTGAAAAGCAAGTAGTCAAATAGTTATGTGTCTAAAACATTAGCATTTAAGTTTGATTAAATATCTGAGGCACTATCATATGTGTAAAGTACTACCTTCTTTTATGTAGTTTTCATTATTGAGGGGACACATTTCTACCATTTCAGTGAATAATTGTATTTATCATTTTTAGTTAAAATTTATACTTGACTAGGACATATAAATGAGGTACATTAATAGTTACCAATGCTTGAAAGTTTCATCCTAATTTCTATTGTACTTAGATTCCAAGAACTCCTAATAGCTCTTTTTTTTTTTTTTTTTTTGAGACAGAGTCTCACTCTCTTGCCCAGGCTAGAGTGCTGTGGCATCAGCCTAGCTCACAGCAACCTCAAACTCCTGGGCTCAAGCAATCCTTCTGCCTCAGCCTCCCAAGTAGCTGGGACTATAGGCATGCACCACCATGCCTGGACAATTTTTTCTGTAGATATTTTTAGTTGGACAATTAATTTCTTTCTATTTTTAGCAGAGATGAGGTTTCACTCTTGGTCAGGCTGGTTTCGAACTCCTGACCTTGAGCGATCAGCCTGCCTCAGCCTCCCAGAGTGCTAGGATTACAGGCGTGAGCCACCACGCCAGCCCCAATAGCTCTTAATAGAGCTAGAAAAAAATCTTTTGAGTATAACCTAATGGACCACTTCAGACAAAAGAACCAACTATTTGGGTGATAACCTATAGAGATAGAAAGTTGCAGAGAGGACTGTATCCTTCTGAATATTTTCTAGCATTCTCTCTTTCTAGCCTGGAATGACTGTTGTGTTAGAATATGGATCTATCCTGGAAATGAGACTGTCAGGGATTAGGCTCATCACAGATGACTAGTCACAGCAGTAGTATAATAAAGTCTTTCTCAGGAAAGGCTAGCTAACTCCTTTAATGTACATTTTGGATACTCTTCAATAAAATGAAATTTTATGAGGCACTATGGCATATGGAAACAGAAGTTACCCATAGTCTCTGCCCTTGGATAACCTGAAGATAGTTAGATGATCATCTAACATGGTTAGATGATAAGATAAAACATAAAATATATACATAGTTTTTATATATCAATGATATACTTCTGGATAGAAACCATTCTTTATCATTAGCTCACTGAAGATCCTGGCTAAGTTCCTTTTAATTTTTATGCCATGTTTCTTCTTGCTTTGTTCTATGAGGTCCAGAGAAGATGGACAAAGTCAGACTAGTAAAATATGCAGGGGAGGGGGGTCCTCATAAAGATAGTACAATAAGAATGTACTTGGAAGTTAATATTTTAAAATTGTTTCATATCCTAAATCAAACAGAATTCATATTAAAGATTTGCTGATTGAGCTCTTACAACAAGAATTCAACACTTCACTGTCATCTAATGGCATCCTATCTTAAAAAAAATTCTACCTTATATTTATTTACTTCTCAGTTTGAATCTTCTTCAAGTGCACATTCTTAATCTCAAACCTCATGTAGAGAATTATTTATTTAGATGTTTCCAAACGGGTTTCTTGGCATAGTTCTTGCATGGTGTGAATAAATTCTTCAGATAAGGTCTTTCATGACCCACTGTGACGTTCTGACCTTCATTCTTGTCATTCTTCAACAGACCTCATTGAGAACAGCATAGTTTTTGGAATATTGTGACTTTTAATCTATGAGCATGATAATTGTGGCATAGAATCCTACAGGGTAGTGGTTCTTAATCTATTTGGGGTCATATATTACTTTGAGAGTTTGGTAAAAATATATGAAGTGATTTCCTAGTAAAATGTGCATATATTCATTCAAAAAGAGTTCTGCATGAAATTTCAAGAGGTTCGTGAAATTCATTTTACCTGTAGGGCCCAACTTAAGTACCATGATGTAAAGCAATGCTTCTTGAACTTTATTGTGCATAGAAATCACCTGGGAATTGGATTAAAATGAGATTGTAATTCTGCAGGTTGGGGATGAGTCTGAGAGTCTGCATTTTTAATAATGTCCCAGGTGAGGATGGTGCTTTTGGTCTCTGGAGAACATTTTGAGCTGCAAGGCTATAGAGGACCATGAGGAAGTCTTTTGTATGTAAATAAAACGAACCCATGATTATTTGAGTCGCCTATTGATTTTCCATTAATAGGATTTAAAACTTTTTGGGCAGTAAACCAGTACTTGAAGAGAAAGTTATATTTTGCTTTTCTAAAATATGTTCTTTACCAGCATTTTTCAATGAAATTTTATAATTCTAATTTCACAAGTTTAGGTGTTTATTCTTTGAAGTAAAAACTTTTTACCCTTTTTTGTGCTTTTAATGAAAATACATTAAAAATATTCTTTGAGTTGAATGACATTTTTAGGCTATTTACTTTATTTACTACATCTTTAGCTTAATGACACTTAAGAGGAGATCATGGAATGAGATGGGTAGGAAAACCCAAACACCTGGAACAGAGTTTTTCACATAGTAAGCAGATTGTTAATATATTATTAAATCGAAATAAAGTTTGTACTAGAGATGGGAAAAACTTAATAGCCTGGGGAACTGAAGATGAAGTCTTAATAGTAAATTGTCTAGATGTGCAACGTTTGGGGGATGGATATGCTTGAAGCTCTTACTCGAGGGGGGAGGGAGGCATGGGCAATATAAGTAATCTTAACACTTGTACCCCCATAATATGCTAAAAAAAATAGTAAATTGTCATCTTGGGTGAAAAACTACCTTACCATATTGAATGAACTGAAGGAGTCAGTCTGTTTCTCTTTTTTTGTTCTATCCCCCAACCCCCAACTCCCAGTTTTTGAGAAGTGTTACAAAGAAAAGTATTCCCTAATAAAATTCTCTCTTTATTTTTATGTTATTTTTGGCTAAGCTAATGAAAGGGTCATAATTAAAATAAGTTTTTTAGACTAATCATATATGAAAGTTGAATAATATAAAACTGCCAATATTTTACCATTTTTGATCAACTTAATTCAATTGATTTTTCATGGAAATATGTAAGGCAATTTGTGTTGAATCTCTGTATCACCCTGTGATATATGCAGATGTTAATGTTCTTCTCTAAATGTCTAGATAAGACATTAAAAAATATTTTTTAGAAATAGTGAACATTTTAAATTGAAAATAAATTTATGGTCCTAGAATCATCAGGAATATCAGTTTTGAAATATTTGAAGATAAAATACAAAGAAGCCTCCAATATGGCATATTATTTGTGAGAAAGGAGACAACCATGTCATCCATACCACCCGTCATCAAGTATGGGTCAAATTAATGTTTGTTGACCAG